AGGATGATGAAGGTTCTAGGAGTACAGTATCTATAGGATGCACCCACATGCTTTATCCGATTAACGGTTCTCGCATCCACAGCCGGGGGTCTTACTTAATGTTACTTGATGTAAAAATACATTTTTAGCCGAGAAAGTTAAGTGTAAATTCCCATGCTCTACAAGGCAGTTAGTTCTCTTCTTCGTCGTTAACTAGAAGCCTTGGGAGGAAGCGCTCCCTTGTCGCAGTGCGGCACTACACTTCCCTTAACTCCCCCTCTTTATCAAGTATCAGTTCGTCTGCAAAACATGCGACGTGGTAGATACCGGCTTTTGCCCGACAGCTCTCATCCCTCCTCCATCGCTTCTCCGTTGGACTTTAATGACCTCCTTGGCCTGTGTTCTCTATGTGATTTTAAACGTAATGGGAATCGTAATTCGTGTGATTTTCACGCTATATTGATTTTCTGACAGTCGGGGTTTATAATACTTTTGTAAATTCCCCTTGTTATTGCGCCGACCTACCTGCTCACATTTATCGATTTCGTTTCCATGGGCACAGGACATCGAGGGTGCCAATTATGTTGAGAATAAGGTCATTCTTCCGTCCCATCTCCCTATTTTAACTAAAAAGCAGAGCTGTCACGAGGTAGACTGATCATTTTCTGTTGTCAGGTGCCCTTTCGATCAAAAATTTCTCCTTAACAGCCTTAAAACCGTTGTTGGCGGCCTTCTTCTTAGTCGAACGGGAGATGTGGAAAGGTGCGCTGGTTTTTGGTAAAAAAATTAGGCAAAAAGTCACAGCAAAAAACGGCCTGAGCAGGTATCATCGAATCATTAGGTCTCTCTAAAGTGCATACCGTTTCTTTACGCCCTAATGTGTCTGCCTGCCGCGTTCTTGCTATACAGCTTTTATGTTTTTTACCGCCTTTTTATGACCCGTGTCACTTTGATATCTTTTCCCGGGACTACTTTTAGATGCTGCGAGGCGGGCCTCCATACGAGATCTCGTTTCTTAATGCTAAAAATCAAAATTTTCAAAGGTAAAGCATCCCGCCACCTGTGAATGTATGCCGAGCCAGTGTGGTAGCGATGAAAAGAAGTAGGAGACTCAAAAATAACACCTCTCTAACGCAAATTTTCGCTGAGTATTTCAAACGTCAAACGGCACTTTTTTTTCATGTTCCACATTCGAGACTGTCTCGTTTCAATACGAACCAACGCCCACCGGCCTGCACAGTCTGAGTCCTTGAACTATTTAGAAATGGGATTTAGTATGCGCCGCTTTCTGACTTCTGTTCTCGCTAATCTAGCTGATCCACTCTCACAGCTGTGCAACTGCGCCGTTGTATTCGCGCAGGCGATGCGGAAACGGCTGAAAGACAAAGCAGACGCCCAGCCGCGCTCACTTGCTCCAAGCTCCTCCTCCCTCCCTCCGCGCCCTTCTGTCGAGCGGGAAGTCCGCAATTATACCTCTAATAAATCATTTTTCGAATGGCCTACGGGCTACTTAGTTAGTGTCTCTCGTGGGGAAGGAACGGCTTGACTGCAGACTCTCCCCTCCCCCTTTTTTTTCTGCTAGCCCTGTGGACCGGCACTAATCAGGGGACGCGGCAAATCCTCAAAAGGAAATAATGTGCCGGACAGAGATTGCGATTTGTACCTGTAGTGCGCACACAGCACCCCATACATACTCTGCAATTTCAGCTTTAGAGAATGCTCAATCGCGGTTGCAATGGTGGTAAACCTGAAGCCAAAGCCTCTCGTTCTGTGGTTTTGTCGTGTGTGGTTGGCAACAACCACATGACCACATTCTAATCTCATTTGCCTTTGACGGTAGCACTTCCTAATTATTGGTTACTTGTTGCTATGCAACCATCGCTCCTGTGGCTTTGCATACTCACAATCTTGGCCGACAAAGCACGAACACGTGAAACAGTGGGCGAGCGTTTGCCCTTATGTCCCCTGAATAAAGAGCCCGAGCCTACGTTACCTGGACCTTAGCCATGACTGAGTCAGGACCGAAAATAAGTAGTCAATAATCATTCTAGTACTCCCCCTATAATTCTCGGAAAATTTACTAGTCCAGAATTTGCACCTAAGTCACGTTGATCATCCAAGTTGCAGCGGTTTCGATGCAGATAGTATTTTTTCCGAGTCGACTGCAATTTTTATTTAATTGAAAGTGTACAAAATGTTCATTTATAGTAATCCTTTCTTTGTAACTCATGATTCAATGATTCCAAAGTTATTTTAGACCGGGACCTGTGATTTTACTTGCTTCCAGGGTTGTGAATCTGCTTAGTATAACTGTTTCCTAAAAATAATACTTGTTTAAGTTTACCCGTCAGGCGATATCTGCACGCGTGGCCATCCGTGACACACATTTTGTGAACTTGGTCTTCTTTTTTTCATTGGCATCGTTTTAGATGCTCGTCTATTTAACAGTCCCTTGTTTCCGTGATTTTTAAAACTAAACCAGTTGTCATCCGTTAATTATGCTGAATGTCTTCTTGCGGTCTCTTGACTCAATAGGAATGTTATGCTCTTAATAACAGCCTGGCCCGCGTATATTGTTCTCGTCGCGTAAAAAGCTCTTTTTTTCTACGAGCTATAGTGGCCGCCTGTGTGACTTCTTGCCGAGCGTCTACATGATATCGAATTCCTGATTTATGACTGTTACTTGAGTCCGAGTGAGCCCCTTGAAGAAGCGCACTTGTGTTGGAGTGTTTCATCTTCGCTAAGCTAGGGCGTCTGCCTCGAGGCGGCGGCGTTACGGGTACACATCAGAATTGAGCTTTAAGGCCAGTTCGCGCGAGGACGTAATCGCACCCAAAGCTGGCCCATTTAGCTTCGGTGCATCAAAT